GGTTAAGAAAAGTAAAATATCACATGAAATGTCTGTTATAGATATAAAAACACCGACTTTTATATTAGAAATAAGTACGTTAATACTTGATTTATTGAAATCAATGAAAATTGATTATTTAAATGCCTTTTTAAGTCCATTTATAGATGAAAATAGTTATAATTTTAAGTGGTTAATGATTTTTCTTCACAATATTGATGCTTTTACGTTATTAAGAATTTACAATTCTATGATTGATAAACAAAAAGAACTTGGAATTGTGGATTCATGGATTTATAGTGATAAAGCATTTTTACTTTTAAAGAAACTAGAAGAGTACCGTGATAGTATTTTAGAGGTGACTGACACAATTTCAGCTACACTCAATTTAAATTCTGATTATGTTTTTGAGATAAATGAAATACCAACAAATGAGACTATTCTATTTGATATAAATTACGTTATTAAGATACCTAAAGTAAAAAGTTTGCTTAAGTTAATTAACAAATTTAAAGAAGATAAATTAAAAATAATTGTTCAGAACACTTCCATCAAAATAATGATTGTCCAATTTCTTTCTTATTATAAATATGAACATTATGAAATATTTACTCATAAAGATTTTAAGAATAAAACAGAAGGACAAAAAGATGAAGTTTTGATATTTTTTAATTATAATTTAGGATCTTTAAGACACACAGAATTTATTTATCCTGAGGGTGTTAAAATTTTTATATTAAACTATAGAGAATCAGTTGAAGAAGAAATTTATTTAAAAAGTATATCTAGAGAAGACGATTTGTTTGAAAAAATGATTGAAGATAGGGGTAAGATGAGTTTAGTAACTGAATTTTATACTAATACAAATCTTAATATAGAGGAAGATGTATCTATAGATATTATGATTGATAGTAGAGAAATGAGATCTAAACTTCCTTTTTCTCTGTATAGAACAAAATCTTTTAATTTGGAAATAAAAGTTTTAAAAACTGGTGATTATATTTTAAAAGATAATTTTGTGATGATAGAAAGAAAGACTTTACAAGATTTTAAAGGTTCATTAAAATCAGGTAGACTTTATTCACAGGCAACAAGATATTTTTCATATCTTTTAATTGAATTTGAAGATCAAACATTTCCATCCATTTTAAATCCATTTTATATCAAACTATTGTGTATATTTATTAATCACTTTGATACAACAAGAATACTTTGGAGTAATAATAGTAAATATACGTGTGAACTTTTCTATAAAGTTTATAAACTAAAGCCACTTGCTTTTGAAGAAGAGTATGATAGTGTATTATTTAATTTACTATTAGATATACCAGGAGTTAATATTGAATGTGCCAAAAAGATAATGAGAGAATTTGTATCAATAAGAGAATTAGCAGAAGCACCAATAGATCAACTGTCTAAGATAATAGAAGAGCCTAGAGCAAGACAAATATTTTGTTTCTTTAGAGAAAAATTATAAATAAAAATGTTTTTAAAAACCCATTTAATGAGGGATGAAAACAAAGAAAGTGAATTGATTAGTCAAATAAAAATAAATAGTAAAAACATCATTGAAATAGATCCAATTTATATAGATAAAGAGAATATTGATGATTCTAAAGTTCCACTTGACAAGGTTTTGAAAGAAAATAAAGAAGAAAAGAAGTGTGTGTTATCAGAAAAATTTAATGAAAATACAGAAGGTAAATTTGTTAGAAAAGCATCAATAATAGCACATAACAGACTAATGAAAGCAGCTGAAAAAGAAGCTGAAATTGATAGAATTTTAGAGGAAGAAGAAATTTTTAATCAAGATTTTTATGGTATAAAAATAAAGAAAAAGACACTTAAAAACAAATCGACCCCACTTGTTTTATTGGATGTTTCAGATCAACAAATTAAACAAGAATTCCAAATAATTAAAAAAACAGAATGTAATAGAAATTTTTTCTATAGTGAGATGAAAGTGAATAAGAAAAAGAAAAGATCTAAGAGACAAAAGATACTTGAAAAGAACACTATTAAGAATACAGGATATAAAACAGTGAGTCCAAAACACAAGTCGGTGATTGAGATTTCTGAAAGACCGCCAATTGTGCACACTGATACTGTTACGAAACCAGTTAATAAGGTTGTTAAATTTATAGAAGAGCCTATTAGTAATGAGCCACATAATTCAGATGAAATCAAATCAGTTCTCATAAAAAGTAAACCACATAAAACATTTAAATGGGAAGGTGAAAAAGAAGTTGTAGAAATTGTAAATGTGATCAACTTGTGTCCAAATGAGAAACCAAATGTAGATTTTGAGTTTTATAAAGTTGATGGAGAAAATGAAACGATATTTTGTGTAGAAGAAACTAAAGAAGTAGAAAGTGAAGACATATTAAAAACATTTAATCAAGAATAAAATTTATTGTATTCTTATCTCATCATAAGGATGATTTTGTATTGGAACTATTTTACCTTTACTTGCATCAACCAGTAGATTATAAAACCACATTGCTTTTGAATGATTTACACCTCTTGGTTGATTATCATTGTCATGTAAATAATTAAGATCATCAGGAAAATTATCAAATAGATATTCAGGTTCTGATGAAATTGTTGCATTTCTACCAAATTCAGTAGGAACGGGAATCGAACTAGAAGTAGAAGAATTTCTTCTTTGTTGAATATTTCTTATTTCTTGTTTAACTTCCTTATCAAGAAATGTAAAAATATCACCAGATAATAGAGATGGATAAATATTAATATCTTCAAGAATACTGTTATCATTAAAAGGTTTGATGTTAATGGTAGTTGTCTTATCAATTTTAATTCTTTTGATTCTTGATAGCACACTTTCATCATTAATAGGTTCCAATAAATCTTCTCCTACTTCAACATCACCTAAAAATTCAACAGTATTATTGAATTCTTGATTACTGCCCTCATTTAAGTCATTCTTAATTTCTAATTCATTTCCTCCAATGTTTATTTTCTTATTATCATTCAAATTATCTTTATAAAGTTCAATAAAATTATCCTTTTGATTTTCGTTTATTTCAGACACATCATCAAATAATGAAATTGTATTAAGATTTCTATTGTGACGAGGGAAAATCTGATCTACTTTAGTATTATCAAAGGTAAGTTTTCTTTGTTTAGGATGTATCTTGGGTTCTCTTTTAATATTCGATTTCATTCTTAAATCAAACTTTTGTATTGTTTTCTTTAGATAGTCTTTTTTCATATTCCATATAACAACAATGCCTTTCATTAAATAAAGATTAAGTCTCAATGCGAATACTTCAGGTGGATTCATAATATTATTAACTGATTTTACAATATCAAAGTTTGAAATATCTACTTGTTTTACTTTCTTTCTACCCTTACAAGTTGAACAATAATAAATCAAACTAATTTCTGTTTTATTTTTAAAGCTTAGTAGTTCAGGTTTATAAAACATCTTTACATAATTTAGTTATTTTTATTTATAAAACTGTTAAGCTTAATTTTTAATTTTGTTTGTTAAAAGAAACAAATATTTTCAAATCATTGTTACTTTGATTATTTTTAATTTATTTACCCTCAATTAAGAATGTCCTTTATAGAATCAATTGATCAGTTTATAATAAATAAAACATCTAATAAAGTTGTACAAAGATGGTATGTATATACTGTTCTTATAGTATTGTATCTCTTTAGAGTGTTATTAAAGGGCTCTCATCCATTAATTACATACTTTTTATTTATTTATCTTGTACACGGATTTATTTTGTGGGCAACACCGAAATCAACAAAAATGCCAAATCCATTCTCAGATGATTATGAAGAGGAAGAAGCAGAATTCAGAGAAGCACCAGACATTGATTTTGGATCTGGACCCTTTGTAAGAAACATGCCTGAAATTTTATTTTGGTTATTCTGTATGAAATGCACACTTATAGCGTTTGTGTTAACATTTGTACCATTTCTAGATATTCCAGCATATACACCGATCTTAGTAGTATATTTCATTACAATGTTAATATTTACGGTATTTAAATTAATAGAACATTCTAAAAAGTATAACTACAATCCATTTAGAAGTAAGAAAGATAAAAAGTTTTATTCAAATTAAATTTGATTTATTATTCAATTCCTTTAAATGTTCTAATCAACAAACATGTCATTAATAAGCCAGTAAATATCAAAGATACTTTCCACTAGACAAAAAATATTAATTTAAAACTTGAAAGTGATATAAGTAAATTTAAATTGTGTAAATAAAGATTTACAAGAATTAAATCAACTACAGTGTTAGTAACAAAGTAAGGATATAAAAATGAACCAGCAGCTAATAAAGTAAAGAAAACAATTGAATATATAAATTTAAAATCTAGTAAAATGGATGAAATAAAGTAACATGATAAAATACTTATGTACTTATTATCCGTTAATTCCATAACCCACTTAAATATTAACTCCTTTAAAAAGTCGTGGTAACAAATGTTAAAATTTTTTACAGTATTTTTGATTGATCTAGAGAGTTCAATTTCTTTAATCTTTACATTTGAATAATTAATTCCGAGATATAAAAGTGATGACTCTGAAAACACCCACATACCATAATATAGAAATCTATGAGAATATCCACTTGCTAGAATAATTAACTGCAGTATTAAAATATTATCAATCTTTTTTAATTTCTCTTTTCTAGATGGAATTCTAGTTAAAATAGAACCAAATATAAAAACTACCGCCATAAAATACCCAGAGAGTGGAACATTTGATGATTTTAATCTTTCAGTATCTCTTTTTAAATAAACATGGAATGGTGGACAATGTCCTGATAATGTAGATGGTATTAAAAAGATATAATTTAATATATCTGTTGTACTAGTTCCATCATTATACTCAAGTATCACCCATGATAGTTGTATGGCAATAAATGATATCTTACATTTACCACTTTGTAAGTTTCCTTTTTTTAAAGATTTATCAAAAAAATATTTATAAACAAAGATAAAGATGCTATTATATATCAAAATTGCTAAACAACACATTCTTTTTCTAGTTTTAAGGATCTTATTGTAAGTTTCTATTGTGTTTTCATTTTTAGAAAGTCTTTTAATATAACACTTGATCATTAATGCTGCTATTATAAGATTAAATAAAATTATATAAGAAATATAAGCTAGTTGTATTAAGCCAAAAGCCATATAACAGATAATTATAGTAAATATTATGTTCATGTAAAGTAACGTTTTTTTACTTTGTGGTCTAAAAAAGCAATATAATGCTGAAATTATTGATCCTGCTATGTAACCTAATTCTCCTGGTGTAATTGCTTCTTCTAATGTTGAACTGTGATATAAATGAAACATGGGTTAAAAATTATGTAAAAATATTTGATTAGAAAAATTAATTAAAATAAATATTGAGTTTATTAATTAACTCTTTCTTTAATATTTCTTTGTTTTACTCATATTAATTTTTAAAATCTCAGTAGTCTTAATATTCTTCTAATAATAAATATTATTAATATCTGAGTTGATAAAAATTTTTTACTTATAATGATTTTTTTACTAAATTTAATCACTAAAAAAGATTTTTTATTTTAAGTATAAAAAGTTTTTAAATTATACTTTATTTCCATTTATAGAAAATGAGAAAGAAATTTATTATCTTATTAGTAGGGAGTCTCTTCTACTTTTTGAACTACACTCTTCTCCTATTTTCCAGAACTTAAGATTCTCATCAGGCCCTAGACTGATCAATTTACTTTGATCAGGACTAACAGCGGTATGAAGAATTCTTGAATCATGTGAACCAAAAGACTTTACATGTTTCATTTTATCAAATTTCCATAAATTGAGGTCATTAGTATAAAATCCATGTGCTGTTACTAATTCCTTATATTTTGACAGACAATGAACTGATGATACTTGGCTTTCTGTATGCACTCTTTTTATTTCCTTAAACAAATTAACATCCCATTGTCTTATTGTTTTATCTTGTGATCCTCCCCCTGTGCATAATACTCCGTATTTCCAATCACACCAATCCATAGCTTTAACTGCTGAGTTGTGTCCTGTTAATGTGACCGATTGAGGAAACCCAGCCTTCCATATTCTAATTGTATTGTCGTTACTACCGCTGGCGAGATGATAATTGTTGAAACTCCATTTTAAATTACAAATTTCATGTTTATGTCCAATAAACTGTCCTGCTATGTCTTTTTGTCTAAAATCCACATTATTAATAATACCTTGTTTGTCACCTGAACTTAGAATCTTATCATTAAACGATATTGATGATATTCTATTTCCGTGGACTTTTTTAGAGCTTATAATTCGGTTTTTATCGAAATCAAAAATTCTTAATTTGCCCAATGAGTCGCCTATTGCTAACATGTTGGCTTTTCCTTTAATACTTGAAATGTATGAATTTTTGGAACTAAAAATTGAAATTACATCTTTCGTATCTGTATTGTAGCAATAGACAGTATCATTTAATGCTATTGTTATTCTATTATGTGTCCAGTCTAATAAGTTCAAATAGTAATCATCTTTTACTCCTGGTGCATCTAGAATAATATAAGGTGATGTGGATATTTCACGACATTCTACTCTAAGATATCTACTCATGAGCTTATCATATTGTGTAACATAGGTGTTAATACTGTTTCTCTTGCTTCTTTCAACGATTATAGAATCATCACCAGACAGATTCTTGTCATCGAACATATAAGGGTCCCATAAAAAATGTTTTCTGAAATCACATACATTTATTTATATTTTTGTTTGTCAATTAAAACAAAACTTGACCTGTGTTTGTTTACTTAAAGTCTAATTAAAATTTTTTGAAAAAATCTTTTTATTAGTTACTTACTTCCCAATCGTATCAAAAATGATCTAAATAGACTTTGTTTTAATATAAACATTGTCTCGTTTTTGATAAATTTTCCTTTTGTGTTTTATACATAATATGTTACTTACCTCTATTTATTGGTGTTGTCTCCATCGTTACTGTCTTTATTTATTGATTGACTATAAAGTTTCTGATGACATTTTTCAAATAATTTATTGAAAAAACAATTCAATTATTATTTTTATCATCTTCTAGTAACTAATTTTTATTAAAAATATTTTAATAAAATTATTTCGATTGATTTATTTACTTTAATTAAATCAAAAGTAAATATTTTTTAATTAAAAACAAAATAAAACTTATTTTAGTTTAAAGTATTCTTTATTATTGTAAAATTGATCATTTAAATTTAAAAATAATTATATATTAAAATCACTAATAATAAGATTATGTAATAAAACTCTTTTTTTAGAATATTAAATATTATAACGGTATTTTTAATTTTTAATAAATCAGTTATGTCATCTGTTATTCAAATTTATTAAATATCAAAGATATTTAAATTTATTATAAAAAATATATTAACTTTTTAATAAAAAAATTATTCTTCTTTATTTCTATGAAAATAAATTATTAAAGTTTTGATGTGTTCATAATTAAAAATAGATTTTTTAAAAAATTTCAATCTGTCAACCATGAATTATTTATTGTTTAATATTCCATTTTTATTTATTAGAATTTAAAGATTATATGAAGTTGTTTTACTTAATTTTTATTAAGTTTGTTTAAAGTATTCTTTTTATATTTTTAATTGATTTTATTAAGTATTTTAGGTTTTATTAAATTTAATGAAGGTAATAAAGAATTTATAAATATTAGTTTATTACATTTGTATTTTAATTTTTAAAGTAAAAAGGTTTTTAATTTTTATGGATTATAATGACTATCATCTCAAATGAAAACAAATTAATCTTAAAGCCTGTTTAAAAAGAATTTTAATTATAATAAAATTAAATCTTTAAAAAGTATGAATTTATTGTAGATTATTTTAAATAATAACATTAAGAATTTTTATCTATTAATGTAGTTATTAATTCTAAAATTTACTTAATCAATTATTACGATTAAATATAACAAAAAATTAGAATTGTATGAAAATAACTTAATTTATAGCTAACTTCCACGTTTTTTTAAAAACAATTATAATATTTCATTGTTAAATTCTTTAAATTTGTCATAAATTATAACATAAAATTGTCATTTAATTAGGTTTAAGATAATTCATTTACTTAGAAATAATTCTCAAATTTAAAAAATAGATGTTGTTTTTATAGTAAATATTACGAATTTTATCAAAGTAGTATTAAAAATTAAAAGAAATTTTATTGAAAATACAAATACTTTTTTGAATAATAAATAGATTGTTTATTTTTTATTTTTAACTGTAGTTTTTAAATAACAAGAAAATATAAATGTATATTTAATCAACACTTATCTATCATAATTATAATTATCATTTCTCTATTATAATTATAATCCTTGATTTAATTTATTCTTTTTTTAAATATAAGTTTTTATAAAAAGATAATTTAAAAAAATCAAAGCCTTAATGATTATTTTTAATTTATTCAATCTAATAAATACAGCTTATGAAAATACTTATTATAAAGATATAAATAAAAGAAAAAATAACTGTTTAGAACAATATGATTTGATTAAATCACAATATACTTTCTTATTTATAAACCCATATGAAATTTTATATAAAAATGATTCTAATAAAACTGATGAAGAATTGTATTTAGAAACGCGTTTTACTAATGATGATGTTGATA